TGCTTGGTTTTAGCTAATTTCTCAGCAGTTCCACCTGGAAATCAGAAGACTAGCTTTATTAGATCCTTTCCTATGGCTTTAATTCCCAGGGGACATATACCCAGATCTCGCATGGGATGACATGGGGACAACCTGTAATGTTGCTGGCCAGCCCTGGACCCTACACGAACAGAACCCTGTGCAATGATATATTGTCTGGTGAATAGAGAATGCTTTGTCTAGTTCTGGAGACCTCATTTACAAAAAGATATCAATAAGATAGAAAGAGTCAAAAGACTGGCAACAAAAATGGTGAAAGCTATGAGGGATAAAAGAAGAGACTTTAGGAACCTAATATATACAGTTTTGAGGAAAGGGGGGAAGGGGGAGACACGCTTAAAACCTATAAATACATGAAAGGGGGAAAAGGTTATGGAGGGGCAGTATTTTCAATATCAAGCCAAAATCAAGAACACAGGGACATGACATACTAGCAGGAGGAAAGTTCAAAACTAATCTTAGCAGTATTTTACCAAAAGAATAGTTGATGCATGGAATAAACTTCCAGACAGGTAGTGAGTAAATTAACAATACGTCATTCCACATTTTGTTTTTAGTGGGGTATAAGTCTGGGCTCTGACTAGGCCATGCAAGGACATTCAACTTTTTCTCCTTCAACCACTGTGTGGTCATTTTTGTTGTGTGCTTTGGGTCACTGTCATGTTGGAAGATAAACCTTCTTCCCATTGACAACTTTCCTTCAGAAGAAACAGATTTTTCTCAAGACTTTGGTGGTATTTTACCCCATCCATTTTTCCTTCTATTCTGAAAAGTGCTTTAGTTCCTGCTGCAGAGAAACACCCCCATGACAGGATATTACCACCTCCATTTACTGTTGGAATGGTGTTATTTGGATGGTGAGCTGTACTGGATTTTCTGACATATCTTTTAGTGTTGAGGCCAAATAATTAAATTTTAGCCTCATCTGACCATAACACCTTTTATCCATGTAGCCTCAGAATCTTCAAGTTGCTTTTTGGCAAAGCTCAGTCGTGGCTGCATGTGGCCTTTCTTGAGGAGTGGCTTTTTTCTTGCAACCCTCCCATACAACAAGTCACATTTGTGGAGAATTTTTGATATTGTCACATGCACACAATTAAATTCTTGCAACTGCTTCTGAGTTTCTGTAGACCTCTTCGTAGCCTCTCTGACTAGTTTCCTTCTGGCTCTTTCATCCAGTTTGGAGTGGCGTCCTCATCCAGGGAGGGTCTGTGTTGTACCAAATACCTTCAACTTCCTAATAGACTTCACTGTACTTCTAGGCATTGATAAAGCCTTTGAAATTTTTTTGTATCCATCTCCTGACTTGTGCCTATCCACAACTTTATCCCAGAGATCTTTTGACAGTGCCTTGCCACCCATAGTTGATTGTTTGCTTCAGTTGCACATCCAGGGACTGAAATGTTCCAGGAAAGCTCTTTTCATGCTGAGCTAATCAAAATAACCTCAGCTGATCATAGATGAAAGTCAAATGACTTTTAGAAGGTGATTAGCTACACCTGATTGAGTTTACAAGTCAGTTTTTTGGAGGCTGTGGTCCTTTTTCCAAGTCCATGATGCTGTTGTTATATCTGTCAATTGGATGTTATTAGGTGCACTGAGTAAATACAGCTGGATAAAACAAAAGGGGGGTGATTCTTTTTTTATACCTACTGTATATGTGTGTGTGTGTGTGTGTGTGTATATATGTGTGTGTGTATATATATATATATATATATATATATATATATATATATATATATATACTCTCACACAGATCAAATGGGGCAGGCTTGATGGACCACTTGTTTTTTGGTTTTTTTTTGCCATCACTCTTCTATGTTTCTATGATGAACGGTAAACATTGGACCCCTTAGTGGGTCTTGTGGCTGGACTGGTAAGGGGCCCTTATTTCAGTACACCCTGCAGCCTAACTTGCAAATGTAAGCACTTCCCAACTCTTCCCCCTTCCTTATTATTGGAAAAGGACCCTGTGGAGGAAGACTTAGAAGAAGAGAAGCCTGTTTTGGATGTAGCGTGTGGAAGACTGCTCCTTAAAAGAGACTATGCCTGAAGATCCCAGAGTCCGAGTTTAACTCAAACCCAGAAAGCCTTTGTGGAATTTCTTCTGGAAGTTCACACTAATTTGAAGTTACCACTTTTTGAGTCCTCTTCTCCAAAAGTTTCAGCGTTTGATCTTGACCGCCACCGGGAGACCCTCAATCGTTCCCTATACTTCCCCACCTTAAGGACGTTTTGTACACAGTCTGTCTCTCCCTGACAAGGTGTTCACTCTGCCAAAGGGGTTCACACGCCAATACCACAAAGAGAGAGTGGTTCACTAAGGCTGGCCACAACAAGCCCTATGTTTTCATTCAATCAGCGGGTTGAATGAAAGAAAATGTCTCAATTCCCTCATCAGCACAATCAATGTAGATGGGCGAAATCTCTACTGCTGTGTTATTGTATTCTTACAGCAGGAAGATGTCCCCGCTGTCAGAATACGTTAGCAGGCAGTGTCAATCAAGAGAGTTTTCAACAGACTGGTTGTACCCAAGCTGATCGATCAACTTGGGTATAACCTCTCTACCTCTGCTAACCCGGCCTAATTTTTGATCCATGTGTGGCCGGTTTAAGTAATGGAGTTTGCCTTTGGTACATCCAGCAGTTTCTTATCTCGCTAAGGACCTCACAAGCGGGAAATGTCCAAGTATTCAAGGATGCTTTGGACAAACATCTGGAAGTGTTATTTAAAGCCTTGTTTGCCTTGGTGGGGGCAGCTTTGCAGCCGGCGATTGTGGCTATAGGTGTCTGCCAAAGTCATATGGTCTGGGCTCGTATGATGGAAGAGAGGGACCCTTCCAGCAGGGATTCTGATTTAGCAGGAACCTGGAAGATTTTCCTTGTGCTCCCAGCTTTTCAGTGGATAAATTGAAAGACTTTATACAGCAAATATCTCTTTTGAGACTTTTGTCTATGCACATTGACATGATTTTGAGTCTGAAGTCACCTAAGCCACCATGCTAGAGGCATGTGGAACCATTTACCTTTTTCAAGGGAGCACTTGTTTGGCTGTGCTCTGGATGATTACATCCAGAAGATATCAGGAGGTAAGAATACTTTGTTACTGCTTAGAAAGAAGCATGTGGTTCATAAACTTGCTGTTCCTCTACGTCTGCAAAGCATTCCTTTCAATGATCTCAGTCCTTTGCAGGGATTTGGCTGGGGGAAATTGAGGACATGTGGGTCCACAATATAGTGGCTTGCATCTCTCAACTGGAATTTCATAGCTTTCCCCTCCATGCTTTTAAATATATATTTGAGTCCACAAAAAAGAATTGCTCTGTTAAACACTATTGATATTCTTCTCTCCCAAGGAGGGAATATTACGGTTTCTGACGACAAACAATTTCACGGTCGTTACGTGAAACTCTGCTTGGTTATGAAGCCAAACAGTGATTTTTTTTTCCCCCTTCTTGAATCTTAAAAGCCTCCAAGTTTCTGCATGTGCCGGATAGAATTAGTCCCGGATAGAATTAGTGGCCAGTGGTGGCCTTTCTGCAACAGGGAGATTTTCTGCCACCAGTGGATCTCAAAGATGCTTACCTGCATGTTCCATGTTTCCCCTTCGCCAAAGGTTTCTGCTGTTTGCAGAGGAGGATTAGCTTAGTACAGATTAAACACAACATCTTCTATTGAGAAAAGCATATACAATTAATAAAAATAAACTTTTTTTTTTTTTAATACCATAGATGGGTACCTTTAACCGCTTGACCTCCAGAAGGGTTTACCCCATTCATGACCAGGGAATTTTCTTTCTATTCATTACTGCACTACTTTAACTGGCAATTGCGCAGTCATGCAACACTGTACCTAAATTAAATTTGTATATTTTTTTCACATAAATAGAGCTTTCCTTTGGTGGTATTTGATCACTACTGGTTTTTCTTAGTTTTTTTTTTATATATATGAAAAAGACTGAAAATTAAAAAAAACCCTGATATTTTCTACTTTGTTATAAAACACATCCAATCAAAACATCACATTTCTTCATAAATTTAGGCCAAAATGTATTCTGCTACATGTCTTTGGTAAAAACAATAAGTGTATATTATTTGGTTTGTGTGAAAGTTACAGCATCTACAAACTGGCATATATACTGTTATTGAAGATGATCAGTGAATTATGGTGGGACTATGATAGTGTGGTGGGCAATCTGGCGCTAACAGACCCTTCCTGGGAGGTACACTAATTGACCAACTGACACTGACATCAATAGTGATTCTAATTCAGTGATCAGATAGAAAACTGTCAACTGTCAGTAAATCTCCTGTGACCAAGCAGCAATTGGTTAAAGGGGTAACCAGTTCAAAGGTAACATGCATGTTTCACCCGGACAATTTACTGGGATGTCTAGAACTAAGCTTAAAGTGCATTTAGACCAGAAAACAATGTAATATATTACAGCTTACCAGCTCTTAGATTGGGTGACTGCATTAGTTTTCTTTTTTTTTTCCCTTTGCTTTCACCTGTCCTAGGAAAATCGCATTTCCTTTTCTTTGGATGGCTGCGCTCACTTACTCCACTGTATCTTTGGAGGGATCCATGGTTATAATCCAGGTTGGACGTCAAACATGTCTTCCTGTCTTCATCTCCATTACCTAGGAAGTTAAAGGATTAGTGGTTTACAGAAGTTTGATAATCTTGTTTATTTACTGTAAGTTCAACTCATAGGAAGTAACAAGGACACTGCATTTCTAGCAAGATCAACAGGTAATTTCTGTACTTGCTGAAAATGTTCCTAGCTTGAAAAAAAGAAAGCTAATGCAGCCACCATATCTAAGGACTGGTTACCTGCTATATATTAAAATTTTGTTTCTGGGTTTAGATATCCTTTAAAGCTAAAGTCATAATAACCTTTTGGGTTGGGTGTTGGGTGTATATTATATAATTTCATACTGAAAATTTCCTCATCTACACAGATATTCCCTGACTGACAAAGGGCTTGAACTGGCACAGAGATTGGAGGTAGCTGATCAACTGCTTGAAGGCAAGAATAATGTGGTCAGGCACAGTGATTCTCATTCTACAGATGAAGGATCTGATGATGCTAATAATGCGGGACTCCAAGCAACTCCAGCCACCGTGTATGTAAATTGACATATCTCTGTAGTGTTCATATGCATTTTTATGTGCTTCCATAAGGAGATTAAAAGGTAAATCCGCCATCAATCGCAATGTTATTGCAGAATTATTGAATATCTCATCCACTTGGAATCGAAGATATGTTAGTATCAGTAGTTTTCACAGCCATTCCCACAACCAACCTGCTTTACAGCTATTACTGTCTTGTGTGGCTTCAGGCTGAACAAGGTAAATATGCCTCATAAGGTAGGTGGGTGGTTGTTGGAGTGGGGTTCGGCCTACCTTTTAAAGTAAAGACAGTAATGGATAATGAAAACTTAAACTGTGAGACTTCTTTTTGTCCTGAAAGAGGTATAAGCAGTCAATATATTCTATACAACACAAGACTCTACCTAATACTGAATAATTCCTTTTGGGGGAGCTTTCGTATTTAGCATTTCTACCTTTCAGTACTTAAATTGTCATGGTTTTGTTGTTTGAGCAACTGTTTGTTTTGTTTGAGGAATGTTGCTGTAAACACAGAAGCCCTCTCTATAGGTTGCCATTGCCCCAAACCAGTGGTCTTTATCCGGCCCTTAGGGCACTATTATCCCAACTGACTGACACCAATAATTGTGTACTATTCCACCCACTGACACAATCAATGGGGCACCTTTCCTTCCACTGACACAAATGACGAGGCACTATTCCTCTCACTAAAATCATGGGAAGTAGTTCACTGCCACTGATGCTGGGGCATTTTCTACTCCCACTGGCCAGAGTCTGACCCCCCAAAGCCTGAAGGACCTTAAACTGGCCCTTTAGAAAGTTTAGAGACCACTGGTAAAAACCAAGCAAGTATGAAGCAAGAAAATGCAAGAAAAACATATTGCAATGTATCGAAAACACACAGTATGTAAAACCCCTTTGCAAAAATACACAAAGAAACACATGAAGAGGCAGAGACAGATGTGAACCTAGCATTATTCCTAGACTATGTTGTACCACTTTAATTTACTGCTGTACATTGGTGCATCAATTGAATAGCTTTGTAAAGTGCCTGATTTACTTCTTTTTTTTTTTTAAGTAAACTTGTGTTCACTTTAACAGGGGAAGTAGGGCCAATATAGCTTTGGCCCTACTTCTGTGGGTCACAGGGGAGCACTTCGTCTGGCACTCTGCGACTGCGGGCTAAAGTTCTCTGCCAGCTGACATCACTCAGCCGCTCCAGACTCTGGGAAGATCCCAACTTTAATGTCAGGGTCCGCCCAGATGCCTCAAGGCAGTTGGCTCCGCCTCTCAGCATGCAGCTGAAAGCCTTAGCCCAGCTTCTCCCACCCCCGTCACAGCCTGGTGCTCCAGTGAGTGCTGGAGGGACAGAGCAGAGAGCAGTGACTGACAATCACTGGCTCTCTGCTCACTGAAGACTGAGAAGTTAGCGTTCAGTGGTCTTTGATCACTCAGTTCTCGGTCTTAGAGGTGGCATTGGACAGATGCAGTATCAGACTGATGATGCATCGACGTAGGTGAGTATAAATGTTTTATTTTTTTTCTCATTCTCATACTTCTCTTTTAGGCCCTGTTTACACTGGCATTAAAAGCATGGGTTTGAGGTATGTTTGTAATTTTCCTCAAACTCCTAGTCAAGCAGTCTGCAGTTGATAATATGGACAGCATACACTGCAGTTCACATTATCAAAATATAATGATGTGTTGCTGCACTTCAGAAATGAAGCTTCATGTGGAGTTTGGAACTCCTTCCATTCAAGTCTGTGGTAACACATAAATGCGCTGGCACTCTTATAGGATGCATTTGTGGTGACTTAGGTCTTGTTTACAACAGCCAAAAATGAAACCTAGGCATCTGAGGTGCATTTTCAAATGCCTTTAGCACGCGTCGGACACATGTCAAATGCGCATAGGGCATTTGGGGAGCAGTTTGAACGCACATTAGATGTGTGGCAAATTCAATTAAGAACTCGCTTCAACGCTACAGGCTTGTTTTGTTAAGCATCAGTATTTTGAGCAAGTGTGAACAAGGCTTGAAGCATAATCCTCTCCCTGCCCCTATCCTTTGATTGGACAGTGAAGGAGCAGTATCAGGCTGATTCTTCAGCTCATTTCACTCACTACTTCTGTTAGCATATGTGCTTGCAGCATACCTGATTGGCCCCTGATGCTGCCCCTCTATCTTTTAGTCTGTGCAGGGGATTGTCAGAGGCTAACACCAAGTCTGTTTCAGGTACTTGATGCTGTTCTGTTTATGAATACACTGTGTAGGTTATTTGTATATTTGCCTGAAATTCAGCTTTAAGCATAAAATGCAATTAGTGATTGCCATTCTGGAATCTGTGTTTTGCCCCACTCTGTATTATTTTACTATTTCTGGTGTATGGCGATTTATTGCTAAGGATCTTTTGTATTTTGCAGTTTTCCACAATACGCAACACTTAGTATGCCTTCAGAAACACAGCAGCTCTATGCAGATCCTGTAGTCAACTCCTACCATCATATGCCTGACTTTACACTGCTTCCAGGACACTTCAATGTAATTCTTTGTGTTGACTTCATTGAAACTACAGGGTAAGACAACAATTATTAAGGTCAAGGTAGATTAATAAAGGACAAAGAGAAGTGGGGGAGGGGGGGGGGAGGGGGGAGAGAGAAATAGAGGGGAGAAGGAGGAGGGGGAAGACAGAGATGACGAGAGAGGAAAAGGAAGAGGAAAGGAAGGGGCAGAGCAAAATAAAAGGGGGAGGGGGTTGTTCTGTGTGCAGAAGTTTCACTTCACACATGGATGATAAGGAGATTAAACAGTACTGTTACTAATCTTGATTTTTTTTTCTTTTATAAAGTCATCAGCAAGCCCTCTGACTTGACATATGCAAAGAACAGTGATACAAGACTGTCACAGGAATTCCTTAATTTGTGGACTGCAACTGATTAGTCTGGCATTATCTTTTCTATTATGTATGTCAGACAAGATGATAGCAATCAGTAGGTCATTAACTGGTTCTAACAGATTTGAGCAGAGTTTTAGTTTACTGAATATGCAATGTTAAATTTGTGTTTATTTTAAGATGAGTAGTTCATATTTGGTAGTGTCCACCCCTGTATCAGCCAGCAGCAGCTGCAGGGGAGAGGAGACTGCACAGACACCAGAGGTGCTATGGGAGCCTATGTGCGATGTCACCACTCCCAGGCATTACCAGCCTTTGTCAATCGCTCTTTCCTCTCCCTTGCAGCTGCTGCTGACTGACACATGGGAGATCACCTAGCCAGTATGGAGTGGTATTTTTGGACAGCAGCATTATATGTCTGGGGGTAGGTGAGTATTAGATGGACTAGCAAATTAGATACACCAACAAATGGGAGCCAAACAGCAGGTAACATTTGATAAGAAGTTACAGCAACAGTTTTTTTTTTTTTTTTTTTCTTCATTTGGGATAAAGGTCTTTATAAATAAATAAAAACTGATCATTATATGTTCCCCTGTCATTGGTAAGTCTCATCCCTGTAACTGCTACGTATGCAAGAGTTATTTTAAAACAAATGTCCAAGGCGCAAAAAACAACCTGATGTCAGCTCTCCTATCATGCACAATTAGCACCATTCACTATCAAACATAAGTGGGTGTTAGCAAGAGGTGAATGAGAGCAAAAAGCAAATATACAAAGAAACAATTTTCTAAAACCATACAACATGTTTCAAAGTAAATAACAAGTCTCAGAGTTCAGGCTATGTGTAAGTACTGATTTACTATTACTAGCTAATGGCTGTGCTGCCACTTAGAACCGAATTGGGAAACCAAAATCTGCAGAAAACAGACAGAGAAGGGCACAAGACAGCCTCACAATGTAGCAGAGCTTTATGAGATTAGGGCACACACAAAAACAAATTACAATTACAAGCATATGAGGAGTAACCAGCATACAGTGAGGAACAGAAGTATTTGAACACCCTGCGATTTTGCAAGTTCTCCCACTTAGAAATCATGGAGGGGTCTGAAATTCACATTGTAGGTGCATTCCCACTCTGAGAGACAGAATTAAAAAAAAAATTCAGGAAATCACATTGTATGATTTTTAAAGAATTTATTTGTCTTGCACTGCTGAACATACGTACAGTCAGGTCCATAAATATTGGGACGTCGACACAATTCTAACATTTTTGGCTCTATACACCACCACAATGGATTTGAAATGAAACGAACAAGATGTGCTTTAACTGCAGACTGTCAGCTTTAATTTGAGGGTATTTACATCCAAATCAGGTGAACGGTGTAGGAATTACAACAGTTTGCATATGTGCCTCCCACTTGTTAAGGGACCAAAAGTAATGGGACAATTGGCTTCTCAGCTGTTCCATGGCCAGTTGTGGTTTATTCCCTCATTATCCCAATTACAATGAGCAGATAAAAGGTCCAGAGTTCATTTCAAGTGTGCTATTTGCATTTGGAATCTGTTGCTGTCAACTCTCAAGATGAGATCCAAAGAGCTGTCACTATCAGTGAAGCAAGCCATCATTAGGCTGAAAAAACAAAACAAACCCATCAGAGAGATATCAAAAACATTAGGCGTGGCTAAAACAACTGTTTGGAACATTCTTAAAAAGAAGGAACGCACCGGTGAGCTCAGCAACACCAAAAGACCCAGAAGACCACGGAAAACAACTGTGGTGGATGACCGAAGAATTCTTTCCCTGGTGAAGAAAACACCCTTCACAACAGTTGGCCAGATCAAGAACACTCTCCAGGAGGTAGGTGTATGTGTGTCAAAGTCAACAATCAAGAGAAGACTTCACCAGAGTGAATACAGAGGGTTCACCACAAGATGTAAACCATTGGTGAGCCTCAAAAACAGGAAGGCCAGATTAGAGTTTGCCAAACGACATCTAAAAAAGCCTTCACAGTTCTGGAACAACATCCTATGGACAGATGAGACCAAGATCAACTTGCACCAGAGTGATGGGAAGAGAAGAGTATGGAGAAGGAAAGGAACTGCTCATGAACCTAAGCATACCACCTCATCAGTGAAGCATGGTGGTGGTAGTGTCATGGCGTGGGCATGTATGGCTGCCAATGGAACTGGTTCTCTTGTATTTATTGATGATGTGACTGCTGACAAAAGCAGCAGGATGAATTCTGAAGTGTTTTGGGCAATATTATCTGCTCATATTCAGCCAAATGCTTCAGAACTCATTGGACGCCACTTCACAGTGCAGATGGACAATGACCCAAAGCATACTGCAAAAGCAACCAAAGAGTTTTTTTAAGGGAAAGAAGTGGAATGTTATGCAATGGCCAAGTCAATCACCTGACCTGAATCCGATGGAGCATGCATTTCACTTGCTGAAGACAAAACTAAAGGGAAAATGCCCCAAGAACAAGCAGGAACTGAAGACATTTGCAGTAGAGGCCTGGCAGAGCATCAACAGGGATGAAACCCAGCGTCTGGTGATGTCTGTGCGTTCCAGACTTTAGGCTGTAATTGACTGCAAAGGATTTGCAACCAAGTATTAAAAAGTGAAAGTTTGATTTATGATTATTATTCTGTCCCATTACTTTTGGTCCCTTAACAAGTGGGAGGCACATATGCAAACTGTTGTAATTCCTACACCGTTCACCTGATTTGGATGTAAATACCCTCAAAAAATCTTGTTCATTTCATTTCAAAGCCATTGTGGTGGTGTATAGAGCCAAAAATGTTAGAATTGTGTCAATGTCCCAATATTTATGGACCTGACTGTATTTGAACACCTGAGAAAATCAGTGTTAATATTTGGTACAGAAGCCTTTGTTTGCAATTACAGAGGTCAAACGTTTTCTGTAGTTCTTGACCAGGTTTGCCCACACTGCAACAGGGATTTTGGCCCACTCCTCCACACAGATCTCCTCTAGATCTGTCAGGTTTCGGGGCTGTTGCTGAGCAACAGTTTCAGCTCCCTCCAAAGATGTTCTATTGGATTTAGGTCTGCAGACTGGCTAGGCCACTCCAGAACCTTGATATGCTTCTTACGGAGCCACTCCTTGGTTATCCTGGCTGTGTGCTTCGGGTTGTTGTCATGTTGGAAGACCCAGCCACGACCCATCTTCAATGCTCTGACTGAGGGAAGGAGGTCGTTGCTCACAATCTCACAATAAATGGCCCCATTCATCCTCTCCTTAATACAGTGCAGTCGTCCTGTCCCCTTCGCAGAAAAGCACCCCCAAAGCATGATGTTACCACCCCCATGCTTCACAGTAGGGATGGTGTTCTTGGGATGCAACTCATCCTTTTTCCTCCAAACACGACGAGTGAAGTTTAGACCAAAAAGTTCTACTTTGGTCTCATCTGACCACATGACTTTCTCCCATGCCTCCTCTGAAGTTTGCCAATGACCATCTGGATGATCCAGAAGGGCCTGGACATGTGATGACTTGAGCAGGGGAACCTTCTGTGCAATGCATGATTTGAAATCATGACGGCGTAGTGTTCTACCGACAGTGACCTTTGAAACTGTGGTCCCAGCTCTCTTCATGTCATTGACCAGCTCCTCCCTTGTAGTTCTGGGCTGATTCCTCACCTTTCTTATCATCAGTGATACCCCACGAGGTGAGATCTTGCATGGAGCCCCAGTCCGAGGGAGACTGACAGTCGTCTTTAGCCTCTTCCATTTTCTAACAATTGCTCCAACAGTTGATCTATTTTCAGCAAGCTGCTTGGCAATTGCCCCGTAACCCTTTCCAGCCTTGCGGAGGTCCACAATTTTGTCTCGGGTGTCTTTTGACAGCTCTTTGGTCTTGCTCATGGTAGTAGTTGGCGTCTGACTGACTGTGGGGTGGACATGTGTCTTTAAAGAGCTCAGACAGGTGCTACTAAGTTAGATAAATGAGTGGAGTAGAGGTGGACTTTTTAAAGGCACAGTAACAGGTCTTTGAGAGCCAGAATTCTTGTTGTTTCTTTAGGTGTTCAAATACTTATGTTCAGCAGTGCAAGATAAATAAATTCTTTAAAAATCATACAATGTGATTTCCTGATTTTTTTTTTTAATTCTGTCTCTGAGTGGGAATGCACCTACAATGTGAATTTCAGACCCCGCCATGATTTCTAAGAGGGAGAACTTGCAAAATCGCAGGGTGTTCAAATACTTCTGTTCCTCACTGCATCATAGCAGAGTGTGTCCTGGATGGCTGGGTGTATCACATAGTTCATAGCCTATGTTGCTATCACTGGATGTTAGAGCAGTGCCACAGAGCGGGAAAAGAGGACCAGGCCACGGGAGACAGTTCCATACTGAAGGATACTGCTCCTGCTTCTTCCTACTCATCTCAATTTGCAAAGAATTTTTGAATGCATTTCAGAGATTTTCTCTCTGAGAATGTATTCCCAGACTTTTTTGCATACCAAGACGAGCAAGTAGAAGCAGCAGCAGTAATCTTCTGTGTGGAAGTATCTCCCGTGGTGCAGTCCTCATTTTCCCCTTCTGTACAGTGGCAGTGCTCTAGGCTGTGTGTTACACCCAGCCATACAGGACACACTCTGCTCTGACATGGTATCTGTGCTTAATCTAACAAAGCTTTGCTATGCTATGAAGCTGTCTTGTGTCCTTCCCTGTCAGTTTCTATGAAGTTGAAGTGTCCATCTTGTTTTTAAAATTGAGTGAACTCCTTTAGCATCAAAGCAATGTCTTGCTCCGCTCGTAGCTCAGACTTTCATCAAAATAGTATGTTCGGTACAGTAAGTTATTGCATAATCATTTTCCTATTTTGTCAGGGGTTCTGCACACAAAAAGCAGGAATTGGTTTCAGAACTGAAGAGAAATGGAGTGAATTTTGATGTACGCAAGCTCCACATTGGAGACTTTCTGTGGATAGCACAGGAGAAAGTCCATCCTGTACCAGGTCAGTGAACTGATGCTGAGGGAAATTTAAAACTGAAGTTTTCTATAAAGTTAGGCTCTGCCCTAGCCTGACAAACCATATTGCTCACTAACTATTTCAACACTACATACTGTTTACTGCCTGCACCTCCAATACATGCTGCTCATTGACCACTGTGTCATTGCATACTGCTCACTGACTGCACTGCCACTACATACAGCATTAACCTGCCACTACATACTGCTCATTGACTGCCCTGACCTTATATACTGCTCCCTGAATGCCTGACACTATATACTGCTCACTGAGTGCCCTGCCACATATCATACGGCTCAATGACGTGACTGGAGTGGCCTGAAATTTTTTTTTTTTTTTTTTTTTTTACATAGTTTATTCAGTATAGGTATTATAAGGGGGGAGAAAGCAATTGTAAGATTAGTTCAATATAGCATAGAATTCCACTTTAATTGTTAGGGCCTGTTCATAATGCTTTTGCATTTTAGTGCTTTTTCAGTGCATTTCCCATACATTACCATTGATTATGATGTAACATGATTTTACCAAAATGCACAAAAAAATGCAGCAATCAAGATTTTTTAAAAATGTTCAACGCATTTCCCTCTGTCATAAAGCACTGATGTGAAGAGCTTTATATATCAAAATAACTAGTTTTCATGCACGTTTATAATGCAATGTCCTGTGTTGTAGTGCACATAAAACGCAATGGCGTGAACAGACCTTTACATAGAGGTAAAATATCACTCTGGCTAGATAATGATCCAGGAGATCCCACAGTCCTGGTGAAGGAGAATTACCAGCCATTACATTTAACCACACTTTAGTTTCTGGAAGGGTGGGTAGGAGATCATCAGCTGCCATACTAATAGTGGATGACTTTTAAGAATCACTTTAATTTAATGTGACAAAAGTCTGCTGTCATGCATAATGATTTATGCTTAAAATGTTTTTCAGGACAATTGCGAATTCCACAGCCTCGGGAGCTGGTGCTAGATTATGTTATCGAAAGGAAAAGAATGGATGATCTTTGTGGAAGTATTATAGATGGCCGCTTTCGAGAGCAAAAAGTCAGTAATAGTTTACTCATGGGTTTCAAAATATGTCACTGCACCTTTACCTGTATTCTCACATCAGAGACCATTGTGGTAGATTCAGTAGTTTTTTTGAGGCCTGTACTTTCTAGAAAAAGCAGTATGCTTGTGTCATGTTTTGTTTGTAGTCTATTTTGAACCTGATAAATGTACTTGGTAGCTGACTTCTTGTTTCATTAGACAGTTTTTTTCCCCACCTCATGAATTCTGCGAGTTAAAGCAGTTCTTCAGGCAAATTGGAAAAGAACACCCTTTTATCTGGTTAAATTGTTCAGTCTTCCTTCTCAGGTATATGCCCTGCCTATAAAAGGTTGAGCAATATGATAGTTGCTCCTTGCCTCCTGTGGGCTTTACACCTACCCTGAGCTGCAGCCGCCTCAGTCCTTGCTATATATCCTAGATATCTGACGACTTTCTATACTTGGTTTTAGTTGCTAGTTTTACTAATTGGTTTCCTGTGTGTTCAACCATTTGTGCTGCTTGCCATGTTCCTATGTTATCCACCCAACAGAACTACCAACTTGGCCATGGGTATTATAGCACTGTTGGCCCTTTTACTGATGCATAATCTGGTCAACACCATTATGTTATATGAACTATAGGTGAAAAAGAAGGCAGAAACAGTTTCTACTGAAGTGGGGGGCAGATCACAGCTTCCAAGTCACATCTAAATGCTGATTCCAAATCTAGCAATAAAGACTTGCCTATAGATCAAGTAAGGCAGGCCATAGACTGTTCAGATTTCTTTCCTGCAACCACGGGTTGCAGGACAGGAATTTTGCGCAAATTCCCCCACCAACACAGACAGTGTTGACAGGGGAATCCTTCCCGCTGGGCTATTGTGTTCTCCCAGTGGGAGAATCCGCATCCAATGGGAGAACACAGTGATTATTGCTAATGGCTATAATAGCGAGAAGATCACAGTGATTACTGCTAGCAGCTATAACAGCCGGGAGAACATGGTGATTATTGCTAGCGTGCCTATAATAGTCGCTAGCGATAATCGCATGTCAAATCCGGCAGACTGGTTGTACACAAGTTGATTGATTGATCAACATAGGTAAATTCAGCCTGTCCATACATAGCAGTCTGTGGCCGGCTTAATTCAACAGAAGGAAGCTATAAAACAAAACTTATAACATTTAGCAACACCACCAGAGATGTCTTCTATTGTAAGAGGTGATTACCTAAAGTATATCTTTACCATCAACCACATTTTGGATAACTAGTTCATAATTTAATCTGGACAACTTTGATTTGTTTCTTGAAGCACTTGAAACATATATTTAGAAATGCTTCTTTTATCTTACTTTTTTTTTCAGCTTTTTATCTCAGAGGCGAAAGCCATCAAAGTAACTGATGTAAATATGGGGTTTTTAAACACCATAGTAAATCTAGTTAGAAGATACCTTTTGCTTCTAACACAATTATGTGGTGTACCCAGTGTAAATGCATGCAGCGATGTATACAGTATTTTTTACAGGCATTTGCCCACCTAGACTTTTCCATATTTTCTAAGTGAGAGCTTTGTCCATGCTAAACTGAACCGCATTCAGGCAAAGGGGAAAAGAAAGCTGCTGCAGGTATGTGGAAGTACCTCCTAAGTGCCTGATCTTCATACCTGCTAGCAGCTTTTATTTTTTTGACAGGTACTTTTAAACAAAGCACTGATTGTGAATGTTTCATGATAGTAATATTCCTGTTTCTTTAGTTTCGTCTTAAGAATTGTGATCTGCTTCATCCGATATATTTAGTTGAAGATTATGGGTCAGCACAACACCTAAGTATTCCAGAAGCGACCCTGCAGCAAGCCATAGTGAACACGCAGGTAATGTCTTTACAAGTCACAGGGTACAGTTTTCTATAGTCATTTTGAGTTTTCTTGCACTGCAGAGTTGTGTATAATGATTCAGCAAAAAAATAATGATTTCCTGAAACTGAGGAATAGAAAAAGAAGCAGAGGTTGAGTAAACTAATAAGCTTTCTTATTTTCTGTGCTGGAAAAATCCTCATTAATTGACATGGGCCCAGATGCAGTTTAGTGTGTGTGTGTGTGTCACTTAAGAGTGAGTAACATTTGTGATTTCAGAAATGAAAAACGGAATTCAAAATCAAGCAGGTTTCTTACTTACTGCTTCCATTTAAATAATCAAAATGCTTATTTGACTTGAAAAAGAACGTTAACTCGAACTGATTGCTGTATTGCTTTAATGCGAAATGTGTCATTTTTGCACTTGAATACATAAGTAAATGAAGCTTTTAGTGTGTGTGTGTTATTTATTTATATAATATATATATATATATATATATATATATATATATATATATATATATATATATACACACTCTCTAGATCATTGTAAGGTGGACATTCTCAACTGTGTTGGTGGCAGCAGTAAACCCACCGACAGGGACATCAAGTTGTTGATCAGTCCAAGCAGATTTGACCTATGCTTTTATTCAGCAATGCAGTAAACAAACTGCATTAATGCAGGCATTTCTATAGCATGTTCATAGCATAAAACAAACCATCTTCTCACCTGAACTACTAGTTAAACTCAAGTCTGTTTGTGACTAACAGTGTGCCTCCTAAGGCCTCTTGCATACAGGGCTGTCCACAAAGAAAACAAACAGAGGGCGCATCGGCCTAGTGCATTACCTTTTATATAACATTTATTGATAAAAATAAGTGATAGACCCACAAAGGACAAATGTATATAAGCTCATCATAAAGAACAGCACTGTCTAGTCCGCATGGTATGGCTATCCACATAGGAACACTGGACCTCCAACAGGCTAACGTGTTTGATGACTTGCCTCTTCTTCAAAGCTTTCCATTGATTTCAATGGGGAGGTGTGTTTTGGTGTTTTTTTTTTTTTTACCACACCAAACCTGCACCACAAATGCAGCAAGCAGGATTTTAAAAATCGTACCATACCCACATCAGTGTGAAGAGTTCCATAGGAATACATGGTCACAAAAGCAGAAGAAAAACAGATCAGTGTGAAAGTAGCCTAAAGCACTGGACAGCCCAGTGTGCAAGAGGCCTTATGGATTTTCATTTTCATGTTCTGTCATCGGTCAGCCTTTCCACTCAGCAGCAGGCTTTCACAACAGAGAGAGGGAGATAGAGAATCTCCTGGAATCAGTCAGCTCAGATATACCTGTGGACTAATTGGTTAGGTATTGGCTAACAGGTAAAACCACAACCCAGGACAGGATGCTTTATCCCACCCAAAGCTCTACAAAGCCTCTAGAAGAAATTACACTTTGCTACAATGTAAAGTAGTGAGTGTACAGCTTGTATAACAGTGTAAATTTGCTGTCCCCTCAAAATAACTCAACACACAGCCATTAATGTCTAAACCGTTGACAACAAAAGTGAGTACACGCTTAAGTGAAAATGTCCAAATTGGGCCCAAAGTGTCAATATTTTGTGTGGCCACCATTATTTTCCAGCACTGCCTTAACCCTCTTGGGCATGGAGTTCACCAGAGCTTCACAGGTTGCCACTGGGGTCCTCTTCCACTCCTCCATGTCGACATCACGGAGCTGGTGGATGTTAGAGACCTTGCGCACCTCCACCTTCCATTTGAGGATGCCCCACAGATGCTCAATAGGATTTAGGTCTGGAGACATGCTTGGCCAGTCCATCACCTTTACCCTCAGCTTCTTTAGCAAGGCAGTGGTTGTCTTGGAGGTTGGCATTCATGGTTCCCTCAATAAACTGTAGCTCCCCAGTGCCGGCAGCACTCATGCAGCCCCAGACCATGACACTCCCACCACCATGCTTGACTGTAGGCAAGACACACTTGTCTTTGTACTCCTCACCTAGTTGCCGCCACACATGCTTGACACCATCTGAACCAAATAAGTGTATCTTGGTCTCATCAGACCACAGGATATGGTTCCAGTAATCCATGTCCTTAGTCTGCTTGTCTTCAGCACACTGTTTTCGGGCTTTCTTGTGCATTATCTTTAGAAGAGGCTTTCTTCTGGGACGGCAGCCATGCAGACCAATTTGATGCACCAATTGTAACACACCTGCTCCCCATTCACACCTGAGAGCTTGTAACACTAACGAGTCACATGACACTAGGGAGGGAAAATGGCTAATTGAGCCCAATTTGGATATTTTTCACTTAGGGATGTACTTGCTTTTGTTGCCGGTGGTTTAGACATTAATGGCTGTGTCTTAAGTTATTTTGAGGGGACAGCAAATTTACACTATTATACAAGCTGTACACTCACTACATCACATTGTAGCAAAGTGTCATTTCTTCAGTGTTGTCACATGAAAAGTTATAATAAAATATTGACAAAAATGTGAGGGGTGTACTCACTTCTGTGAGATACTATAATGCGCCCTGTTTCTCTCAAAGGAGAGACTGCTTTTGTGCTAGGCAGCTGGTTCATATCTGTCTCCAATATGTGTTAACCCCCCCCCCCCCTTCCCTCCTAAGGAGCCCGATTTACCCTTTTGGGAAAAAGGGGGCATTCTCATGCAAGGTCGGGGTGATCCTAGTTCCAGGGTGATCAACTTGGAGGGCCTCAACCTCGTCCACAGTTTTGGGGCCTGTGGGCCTACAGTAATGCACTGTTGTATCTTAATCAGCAAGGCAGACCACTTGCTCCACAATCAGAATTGTGTAGAACACCTGTATTTGCAACCACAAACACATGCTGCGCCATGGTAACCCTGAGCCTGGCCAGGATTTGAACTTGGGATACTCCCTGGAATTCTAAGATTGCAGGCCCATGTAGGCCTTTCCACCCAGCAGCAGGCCCTCACATCAGAGAGAGTAGGAGCCCCTACCTTCAGTCATTTCAAATATAAAAAGGCCTGCATACAATTGGGATTAATTAGTGAGGTCTGGCTGAGAGGTAAGAAATGGAGTTAGAACTGGAGGCTTTTTGCCACCCAAAGTTCTACAAAGCTCCTAGCATCCAGCACCCTGACTGGAACAATTTAAGATCTAAATAAACAACAAAATTTGTTTACTGCATAGGAGACAAAACCATTGGAGCCCCACACCATGTCTTGGTGAGAAACCTAGGTGACAAGTATGCAGGATATGCAGTGTGTGTGTGCATGTACTGGCAAACATGGTCACTACATTACCTTGGTTGGGAACTAAACACCAATCTTTTTCTTCAATGTATCTATACCCTCTGACTGCTAAAGACATGTTCCATATATCATGGCTGTACTATTTACTAGGCAGCCATTGACATATGGAACTTACATGGCAGCCAAAGGCTTTAAAACATGCTTGCAGGCATGACCTGGTTTGAATTCCGTGTCCTTTCCACCTTCAGTAGAAGTTATCACTTGTAAGTAAGTGTATGGGCTCCTACCTCCTCTACTATTGCCAAACTCATTGCTAGTTTTCTAGCTCAGAAATGGCAACCATTCTTTAGGAAGAATATCTGTATGATGGACTGTGATGTGCTGTTACCACAAATAAACAAATGCTGCTTAGCTGTTATGTGTTATCATTCTTAGGTGGTTGATGGGTTTCTTTATCAAGCGTACCAAAGATGTTCGGGAGTCTGCAGCCTACTTGACTATAATGACCCGCTATCTACAGAACATGTTTAAGGTAAGATGTGGTCCATTCAGGAATTTGATTCATAGACTCTCACTGCAATGCAGGCCAAGAGCTAGCCTTATATGGTATTTTTGTGTTCTTTTGATTTACAATTCATAGACATACTGTTTTGTGTTCTGCCTAGCCCTAGTTTTCTGATTGTAGATATTTACAGAACAAAACCCTGCTGAGCTGCACTAAAGAGGAAGCCAGTAAATGTCATCGTGTCTTGCAACATGATGCCCAGAGCTGCATTCTGATGGAGTTTAAGGAGTTTAATGAAGGGGCCATGAAAAATAAGGTAATCCCTCACATTTTAATAAGCCTGTATTTAATATTTAAATGTGTTGTGTCTACTTATGTACTTCTCAGGTTTAATTCCTTCCTTATGTCCATTTGTTTCTAGAAACTGTAAATATCTGCACTTCAAACTTTGGGGAATTCATAAAGAGTATGTATGACACTTTCAAGAATTCAGTGTTGACTCTCTTTTACAAATGTCAGTACTTGCTTTAAATTCATTTTACCCACTGGAAACCAGTATATGAATTTGGGACAAACACCGGCATTTGTTGTGTGGAGACACACTGACAGCAAAATGTCCTTACACACATTCAGTCCTCAGTGCAGCTGAGCTCTCTCCCTGCCACTGCACCTCTCACACAGACCATGCAGCAACGTTTTGTAGCTGGGTGGGTGGAGCCTGATGGGGATTCATAGACACTAGTTTTCTGTCAGATCCACTGCTCCTGTAATTGACAGCAGACAGTGGGTGGATTCCATAAAGCCAAACTTTCTATGTAAATGGGACTTTAAAAGCCCCAATGAATACAAAAAAATATCTTAAAATTGTATTACAGATATCCATAAAAGGGATAAAATACAGTGGCTCACAATGTTTAGATCCTCAATGCTACTCACAGTGTCTAACATAGTATGACTATTACTCTTGGTCACATGTGTCGTATATTTATATCACCATAATATGTCAAATTTTGATGGAAGATCTAATCTGGAGCCCAATGTGTTTCAATTATAAAAAGTTTGGTTTCTGTTCGTTTTCCAGGGATATGGCACCTAGGGCATATCTTGCAAAACCTGGCAATACAATGTTTAAAAAAAGGGCTATACGTTTGGCTATGGAATCTGAGTCAATCAGCAGGAGCAAGCAGCTTGCTATTGGAGCAAGGAGGCTCGCTCCCAAACTGCTGCTCTGCATGTCTGTTCACACAGAGTTGCGGCTCAGCCCCTCCCCTTCCTTATTGGCTCACTGGCTGTGATTGACAGCAGCAGGAGCCAATGTCTGCCGTTGCTGTCTCAGCCACTGAGGAAGGAGGGTCTCCAGAGAGCTTAGGCTTTCATGCACATCACTGGATCGCGATGGGACTCAGGTAAGTATTTGGGAGGGCTGCTGCACACAAGGTTTTTTTACCTTTATGCATAGAATACATGAAGGTAAAAAAAACCTTAAGCCTTTGCAACCACTTTAATATCATGTTATTAGTCAGTTTGGATGTTAACTCAGAATGACAGGTTTTTTTTTATGTACATAAATGCTTGCTTTGTGGCCAAGTACTCGTTTGCTTAATATTGAGTAATGGAAGAAAATATAGATTTACATGCGGCCATACCAAGATATGAAACATTTTCCTATGTTTTTGCTTCTATAGAACACATTGTATCCATCTCCTGCGTGACACTGTTTTTCCACTACAGGCTCAGACAGTGAAAGAGGTGTTTGCTCGGCAGCTAATGCAGATTAGTGGTGTGAGTGGAGAGAAGGCAGCAGCTATCCTGGAAAGATATAACACTCCTACCAGGTAAAGTAACATTACATGTACACGTGTTGCGTGAATAATAACAGTGTTTATCAAACTGTTCCTCAATGACCAATAATAAGGCATGTTTTCCAGTTCTCTTTACTAAATCACAAGTGAAATATTAAGGGTTTTTTTCCCTAATTGTTGCTGATTTATACAATTGTACAACTTCTTGAAACTTTGCAGTGAATACCTGTCATTGGTACTAAGAACCTGAGTCAGGAGATACTGGGTAAAGTATATAATTTACTTAAAGCCAAATTCCAGGCAAACATCTAAAATACAAATAAGGTAGGTGTTTTATCTGACAAATGATTTGCATTTCTTTATATTCAGCTCTTGAATCTACACAGCTGCTTTGTAAAAGACAGGAGGATAATACCATCTTGTAAATGGCACCCCTGCGTTTTCATTGGACAGTGAAAAAAGCAGCAGAAGACTGACAATGTCATCTCTCTGTTCACTCAGCTCTATTCTTCTGTCAATTGGTACATAGTCAGTAAATCTGCATGCAGCACACATGATTGAATTCTAGTACTTTCCCTCCCTTTCTTTTTTCCAGTCTGAGTGCTGCTATAAAGGGGTTTACAAGAGACTGATCTAAAGTGTAATCAAAGTACATACGTTAGTTACATTTGAAAAATGAATGTGATGATTTGTTTTTTAATACAGAGCTGTGTTCATTTTGTGTCTTTTATATCTGCCAGCAGTTAGTGCAAAGGGTGGAGCTGTGCACCCTTTGAATTGGATATTTAAAGTTAAAACTGCTTCACCTCATTCACTAACATACACTTTGCAAAGTGGTTCCTGAACCCTGAAGACCCGTTCAGAGGTATGCCTACTGTGACAGGCAAAGCCTGGACCCCTAATGGGCCCAACAAGGTAGATAAGATAAGACAGGGTCTCTGTAATTTGGATAGGTACCAAAATGTTGAACCCCTCCTTTGACACTAGCTCCCTTTAGAAAATTTTGGCATTCTTAGGACCTTTAGTTTCCAAAGCTTTTTAATATGTATACCTGCACCATCTTGATTTGCAGAGCAGCTGCAGCGACACTTCTTGTGTCGCCTTATAGAAATCTTAATATGCAGCAGCGCTCCCTATCAAGTTCTTATTGCACCATAAATAAATCATAAAATATTTAATGTACTATGTATAAAATCCCCACCTCTATAAAGTGCCTCTTAGCTCCTTTCCTACACGTTTCACCTTCTGGTATCCTTAGGGAACAAAGCACATAAGGGCAGAGCTAGCAGGTGCTAACATCACTTCCACCGGAAGTTAGAAGTACTGTGAGACGCAACAGAGCCAGTATAGTACTGTATAATGGGAACATAGTGCTGCCAGAGAACTTGAAAATGTGAGCGCAGTGATTGTGTTATGTTTTGAAGTGGATTGTTTTTCAAATAAAAATAAAAGGGTTTTACTCAGAGTATTTTTTGCATCTTCTGTATGGTCCATATATGGAGAATGCGGTGTAGATTGTGGTGATCCTGAGAGGGGAAGAGCAGAAGGAAGGTATCCTGTTCATGTAAAAAAAAAAAACCAAAAAACGTTTTGACCTATTTGAAAAATAAAAGGTGTCAATCCATCTGGTGGGTTCTTGGAAGTGGAAGCAGATGCATGATCACTGGTGGTACGGAGTTAAAGTTTGCTGTGGACACACTTGAGAAAAGGAGGTTAATTTTAAAGGCACAGAGCACTTTTGCTTGGCAAAGAGTGGAAACAACTATCTGATACTCTTGGTCTTATTGGTTTTTGTGTTAATTCTCTAGAGAGTGTTCGCTAAGCTTCTAGAATGTCTCATGTCTACATGGATATATGCAAGATTTTGTGGTTAAAGGCTTGAATTGCTGAAGCTGCTTGTAAGAGGCGCCTTTTACACATGTCTTATGACATTAAGAGCCTGTTGGGGGAATCCCTTTGTAAATTCATCAAGAAAGTTAATGGAGGAAAGGTGCTTCTACCCTACATAAATAACTAAACCTCCTATGGCTACCACCTCCACTAAGAGAAAGGGGGATTTTTCGCTCTCCCCAGGTTTCATCCCTTATACCGAGGCTTAGCACTTCCTTTCTTTTCAAGCCTTGGACCCCTAAGACCCCACCAAGCCTGCCCAGAAGCGCTCTTCACAATGAAGGGGTCCCCTCATTCCTTTGTCTATTCTAGATCTGAGACATCTCAGATCTCTGTATACAAATCTGTCTTTTTAGAGGAGTAATAAAATAGAATTTCTCTCTCTGCCCCTTCCTCACTTCCTACCCTCCAGTCTGTGCGTATCTGTTAAAAAAACAGCACATTTACTGTCCGTCTTCATCGAATTCACTCACAAGGGGTGGTTGCACCAGTTCCTTCAGAGGAAAGGTTCAGGGCCTTTCGATCAAACGTATTCATAGTCCCCAAACTAAATGAGGGCATCTGACCCATATACAGTCAGATCCATAAATATTGGGACATCGACACAATTCTAAAATTTTTTGGCTCTATACACCACCACAATGGATTTAAAATTAAACAAACAAGATGTGCTTTAACTGCAGACTGTCAGCTTTAATTTGAAGGTATTTACATCCAAATCAGGTGAACGGTGTAGGAATTACAACAGTTTGCATATGTGCCTCCCACTTGTTAAGGGGCAAAAAGTAATGGGACAGAATAAAAATCATAAATCAAACTTTCACTTTTTAATACTTGGTTGCAAATCCTTTGCAGTCAATTACAGCCTGAAGTCTGGAATGCATAGACATCACCAGACGCTGGGTTTCACCCCGTGTGATGCTCTGCCAGGCCTCTACTGCAACCGTCTTCAGTTCCTGCTTGTTCTTGGGGCATTTTCCCTTCAGTTTTGTCTTCAGCAAGTGAAATACATGCTCAATCGGATTCAGGTCAGGTGATTGACTTGGCCATTGCATAAAATTCCACTTCTTTCCCTTAAAAAAACTCTTTGGTTGCTTTTGCAGTATGCTTTGGGTCATTGTCCATCTGCACTGTGAAGCGGCATCCAATGAGTTCTGAAGCATTTGGCTGAATATGAGCAGATAATATTGCCCGAAACACTTCAGAATTCATCCTGCTGCTTTTGTCAGCAGTCACATCATCATCAATAAATACAAGAGAACCAGTTCCATTGGCAGCCATACATGCCCACGCCATGACACTACCACCACCATGCTTCACTGATGAGGTGGTATGCTTAGGATCAAGAGCAGTTCCTTTCCTTCTCCATACTCTTCTCTTCCCATCACTCTGGTACAAGTTGATCTTGGCCTCATCTGTCCATAGGATGTTGTTCCAGAACTGTGAAGGCTTTTTTAGATGTCATTTGGCAAACTCTAATCTGGCCTTCCTGTTTTTGAGGCTCACCAATGGTTTACATCTTGTGGTGAACCCTCTGTATTCACTCTGGTGAAGTCTTCTCTTGATTGTTGACTTTGACACACATACACCTACCTCCTGGAGAGTGTTCTTGATCTGGCCAACTGTTGTGAAGGGTGTTTTCTTCACCAGGGAAAAAATTCTTCGGTCATCCACCACAGTTGTTTTCCGTGGTCTTCTGGGTCTTTTGGTGTTGCTGAGCTCACTGGTACGTTCCTTCTTTTTAAGAATGTTCCAAACAGTTGTTTTAGCCACGCCTAATGTTTTTTCTATCTCTCTGATGGGTTTGTTTTGTTTTTTCAGCCTAATGATGGCTTGCTTCACTGATCGTGACAGCTCTTTGGATCTCGAGAGTAGACAGCAACAGATTCCAAATGCAAATAGCACACTTGAAATGAACTCTGGACCTTTTATCTGCTCATTGTAATTGGGATAATGAGGGAATAACACACACCTGACCATGGAACAGCTGAGAAGCCAATTGTCCCATTACTTTTGGTCCCTTAACAAGTGAGAGGCACATATGCAAACTGTTGTAATTCCTACACCGTTCACCTGATTTGGATGTAAATACCCTCAAATTAAAGCTGACAGTCTGCAGTTAAAGCACATCTTGTTCGTTTCATTTCAAATCCATTGTGGTGGTGTATAGAGCCAAAAATGTTAGAATTGTGTTGATGTCCCAATATTTATGGACCTGACTGTAGGACTTAACATCTCTAAACAGATTTTTTTGTGTACCAAAATTCCAGATGGAATCAAAAAGATCTGTTGTTTGCTTCTGTCAGACAAGGGAAATGTCTAGCCTCAATACACATACAAGATGCTTATCAACACATCCCGTTCTTCCTTCCACATCAACACTTCACTTTCAACATTTTGCTATGGAAGACAAACACTTACAATTTGTAATGCTACCATTTGGGCTTTCTTTTGCATCATGAGTGTTCCTCATGTTCTGGAACAAATGCACCCTCTGGATTATCCTGTGAATCTGTCCAGCCAGAGAAAGCTCTCTGTGGTATGGTGAATGTCTAATTCTGCCCTAGCGTAAGGAAAGTCATTCCTTCTCATGCCCTGGGCATACGGACCCTCAGATCCAAAAAGCACCCATCCGTTTGCTTCTGCATGAGGGTTCTGGGCCTAATGGTAGCCTAAATTTTAGACTGTTCCTTTTGCGCAGTTTCAATCCAGGTCACTTCAAATCAACATCCTCACGTCATAGAACAGACACATCGACTCTCTGGATCATCATATGTGTCTATCCAGTGAAACAATGCTCTCACTGGTTCAGTGGATCTCCATATCTGCCCTGAAACCTAGGAAGTAATTCCTTTCTGTGCCCTGGAAGGTGTTGACAGTAGATGTTAGTCATACAGGCTGAAGGGGAGTTTACAACTCCTAAACTGTCCATGGGACCTGGTCCTCAGAGGAGTCAACAATGCCAATCAACAATCTGGAACTGAGAGCTATTAAATGAATTCTACAACGCTGGACCTCCCTTTTACCAGGTCACGCAGTCAGTGCATTCAGACAATGCCACAGCAGTTACCTACATAAATCATAAAGTGGCACCAGAATTTGAGCTGTTCTATAGGAAACAAACTTGATCCTTAACTGGGTGG